CACATTCCAGTGAGAATCTGGATAGAGTAGAAGAGAAAAATTAACTTTGTGAAAATCCTAACTAAGCAAACAACAAACCTCTGACAAAATGAGAACTGTTATTTCAAAATGATTATTGTTAGAATAGACTTACTGTTGACTAAAAATAATGAAGTTTCTATTCTGCAACAAGCACAAGGGCATGGGATTAAGAATCATAAAGACCTGGGTTCTAGTTTTGACCCTACCACTTTATTACTGGGGTGACCTTGGCAAGTCAACTAATTTCTCTGGGTCTCAGATTCTTCACCTGTCAAATAAGACAACAGGACTAGATCAGTGGTCCTCGACTCTTGGTGTCCAGACCCCTGAGGAAGTCGGTTAAAATTACTGAGTAATCCCCTCCCCAAAGCTTCTGTTCATGTGTCTGTAAGTATTTACCAGATTAGGAATTAAAATGAAAATGATTTTGACTGTGGTCCCTCTGGAAGGGACTTGGGGACCCTAGGAGTTGCTGGACTACACCTTGAGGATCACCAGACTAGATGATCTCAAAGGTTCCTCTTAAAGCAATATGGCTCCATAAGAGTCAACTTGGGGATATACATGAATTAAAAGATTGAGAAATCTGGAGTTCACCATACAGCTCGGGCTGTAGCTGCTAGGATCTTTATGTAACATCAGCTTCAGTAACCCAGCTTTTCAAGATGAAGTGGGGACGCTGTTGTTCCATTACAGACCGCTAGGTGGCGCAGAGACTAGCGCTCTGGGCCCGAGGTCAGCCTCAGTTGACATCCAGCCCCAGACACTTAGGACAAGTCACTTAACCTGTTTGCCTCAGTTTCCTCAATTGTAAAATGGGGATAATAACAACACCTACTCTACAGAGTTGTTTTGAGGATCAAATGAGATAACATTTGAAAAAGTGCTAGTACAGTGTCTGGCACAAAGTACGTGTGGTATAAATGCTTCCTGCATTCCCTTTCCTCCATGAAAACTAAAAAAATGTTCATATTATGAAAGAATCAGATTACTCTAGAGAATAGATACTTAACTCCTATTAAGCCCTATGTTCTCTACTAAGGGCTTTTGCAGCACTTAGTTGTTAAGAAGCCAATCTTGGTGGTTAAAGATATTGTATATTTCTGTAAGCACACGAAACAAAAATATATGTTCCATTTTAACAGATAAAGGATGAGAATACTGTTAGAAAGTCAGATGGGTAATTAGAGACTGGATGATAAAGCTAAATTTAACAAGGTCACATGCTATGAGTATGGATCAAAATTGGAGCACCTAGCACTAAAGGGATAGGGTACTATTAATTCTACTTCAGACAGCTTCCTTTTTCATCTTTGGGAAAATTATTTTAATGGAGATTCAAGTGTATTATAGTATAAAAGAGACCTTAGAGATCATTGGGTATAACTTCTTTTTCACAGATGAGGTGAAACAACTTGTACAAGAGTGTTAGACAGATTTGGAAGGTATCTGAGGGACCATTTATTCTAACCCCTTCATTTTACATGTGAGGACACAGCCCCAAGAGGTTAACAGGCCTGGCTGAGGGAACATAGCTCAGGTAGATGGCAGAGCAAGGATCTGAAGCTAGATTATTTGAATCTACACTCAAAGCTCTTTTCCACTGTCACACACCAGCTGGGACAAGAAGGAAGAAGCAGAGCACAGCCTCAAATCTAGAGTCTTTAAATAACTCCAAATCCAGTGCTCTCTTAAATGTCACTTAGTTTAACCTCCTCATTTTACAAACTGGTAAACTAAGGCTCAGGAAGTTGCACAAGAATACACTGGAATACTAGAATGAGAATTCAAATACTTACTGGTAAATACTTATTCAAAAATTGATTTGAATAAAAGTTGGTCATATTTATTTATTCTGCACATTTTATTATTTTCATTTCCTGCCTTTCTGTGTAATTTCATGGTATATCAATCCCTCCTTCTAATTTAGGCAATCAAATGTGGCCATTTACAAAATGTCACAGTTTGACAAATACATTTATTGGGTTAATCAATTTTAATGGCAAATTTCAGTTTTCAAGATGAGTGTGGCTCAGTATTTGTAACCAAATTGATCACTGTACTCTTATTTAACAGCAATTCTCTTACATATATAGGGATCCATGCTATACTTGAACAACTTATTTTAATGATAGTACACAGTTACTTTCCATTATTGTCACTTCTAAATATTGAGTTTTTGGTTCTAGAACCAAATAGAAAGATCTCTTTTATCCTTCCATTATGTCAAATATAATCTCAACTTGATAAAAGTTTTATAAGTACTATCATAAATTTTGGAGAAAAAAATGAAATAGGATAAGAAATGAAAACAGTTAACATTGTTTTCATTCTTTTGGTCCAGTAGTTGAACACAGTGCAAATAATAGTAATCCATCTGGGCATTCTTCCATGATTTAAATTAAGAATGCCTTTCTTTATTTAGCATGGAACTTATGACCTTCCTTCCAATGTAGGCAATATTGTTACTTTTATAAAAATATATCCTAAAGGACAAGTCTGTACCTCCTGAAGCTAATGGGCCAACATCACATTCTTATGACGAATATTCCTTTCTTCCTAATTAAGTTTTACTTCGAAAATACCCAAAAGAACAAGCAATTTCATTTGTACTTTATCTCACTCCTTTCTGTTACATGTGTGAGCCACAAGTAGGTACCAACAATACGTTTCTTTCTTAAATAATTCAACTGTGAATTGTGTACAAAGCTTGCTTGGTTCCTTTTTCCATTAAGCTCTCTTCATACAGAAGAGAGAACTGCAGAATTAAATCATGTGAGACCCAGCTACAGTTCTGAATCTGAAGCTAAGGAAAATTATCAATCTGTAGAAGGATTTTTTTATATAGAGGTAGTGTAGTATAGAGTGGGTTTGGAGTAAAAGGATCCTGGGTTCAAATCCCAGATCTGCTACTCAGATGATCTTAAGCAAATCTCTTTACTCCCTCAGTCTCAGTTTCCTTATTTGTAAACTGAAGGGTTGAACTAGATTTCCAAGGTCCCTTCTGACTAAATTTTCTTTGCTTTATCTCTGTGCCAGAATGACCTTCAAGGAATTAGATACAGCATAGTTCCACTGATACATTTGCAAGAAATCAAGTTAATTCATTTTCTGTATATTATATTTAGCTGTTTTTGCACCTATAAAAGGAGCTTAGCAATTAGAATCTTTCCTAATGCTCCTTTTCCTTTCCTTCTATTAAAATAAAAATGTTATCTGTACAACAGTTTCCTGCAGTCCCCAGTACCAGAGTTGGTCTTAAAATCTGTCATTAAGTAGCTCAATGACCTTGGGACAAGTTACATAACAACCACCAATTTTCTCATCTGTAAAATAAATGGATTAAATAATCTTCAAGATCCCTATTATTCTAAAGTCTTATAATTCTATATTACCTGACAGTGAAAATTAATTCCTATAATAAGGATTTCCTCCAATCAATTACTAAGATCAATACCACCACACCAATCATTTAAGATGTTCAATCTGACAATGGGGAGTAGGAATTTTAGGTTTAATTCTATAACTAATAACTGGAACCAAGAACCCCATTTTTTTTTTTTTTTGGAATTCTATTATCACCCTGAGGAACAGGCAGATCTTGACTACGTCACGCTAACATCCACTCCCTCCCCTCCCTTTGTCCTTCTGTCAGAAGAAACCAGAGCTCAGATCTTAGAAGATCAGAGGGCATTACATTTAAAACAAATTTCTTCCAGATTTATAACAAACGGGTCGCTGAAAGCATTTGTTGCTTCTCTTTAGAAAGTGATATTAAGAATACAATACATGTCCTTGACTTATAAAAATTAGATATCGGAACACATTGTGAAATTAGATATGGCTGAACGTTTCCACCCACAAATGTAGATTTTTATCTGGGGCACCTGAAAGCGCCACCTTCATAGCCATCTCACCGCCTTCTCAAGTCAAAGGTTTCCCACGGGAACTGTCTCCTTTGCCTTTACCAAAATTACAGAAATAAAATAAAACGAAAACTTGAAAGGGAAAGGACACAGGCAAATCTTCCCTTTTGACAGGCTGGATTTTTAACCACGTGTCTAGAGAATGGGGAAGCATAACCTTCAGTCACTTCTTTTAGCTCATCAGTGCAGTATCTCAAGGGGGTTGAAAAAGCACCCCTGGTGGGGAGGGGGTCCCAGGAAATGAGATTCTCACCCCCCAGAAGCCCCTCTTCCAGGTGGGAGGGGGAGAAGGGGGAAATCACCCCTTTCCCCGAAAGCCTCAAGAGAAGAAAGCAATCCCTTCCCAAGCAGAGTCACTTAATTGAGAAAATGACCTCAAGATCTCCAAGGTTTAAGCTTCCGAGGGGGAAGGGGACATCGACTTTGCACAGCTGTCTTCTTCTCCCCTCCGCACCTCGTCCTAATCTTCCAAGGCCAACCAGGCCTCAGGCGCCTCTATCACTTAAAGAGCCAACGAGGGAGGCCGAAGGGCCCGGACACTTACCATTGCTGCAGCTGGATAACTTCTGCGACAGACGACGAGACTAAGCTACGGTCAACCAGGCGGGTCACCTCTAACTGCAGCTGCACCCAAGCAGGAGGACAAGAGGTATTAGCGGAAGGAGGAGTGACTCCCGATTGCCAGGGCCGCTGGATGTGTAGTTTTTCGCTATCCTTATCCTGGCCCGGCCCCGTAGCATTTCATTACGCCTTTAGACTACAATTCCCGAAAGGCTTAGCGCCTATTGTCTATTCTACCTGCGCTGTTCATTGCAGAGCCAAATAGTCCCCGTCTGAGGGTCTTCTTGATTGGAGGGAGCCGGCAAGCGGATGGATTGAGGCGAAGGATTTGGGGGACGCCTAGATTGGCGCTCAGCGATTGGCGGGAAGGAAGGGAGGTGGGTAGGAAGGGGAGGGAGTGACAGCCGCCTTGGCAACACTTACTCCTGCGAGTCGTTTAGGACACTTTTTTCTTTGGAGGTTATGTGTGGGCTTCCGCTGCGCCAAGCGGGCTCAACCCGGAAACTCAACGTTCGGAGCCAAGCGGTCAAACATTCGAGTGGGCGGACGTCTACGGGTGGGTTGGGGTAGGTTCCGGCTTGACTGGTTGCTAAGCGACGGGGAGGCGGGAGAGCTCCTTGGATTCTAGGTACCAGCGGGAAGCTGGAATTACGTCACCCTCCCCTGCGCCCTTTCCAGCTCTGTGATTGGAGGAGACGCTAAAAGCCCTTCGCCTCCAGAGCCTTTTCCCGGCTGGAAGTTGGGGGGACGCGGGGAAGAGTGCAGCCCCCTGTAACTGATTAGTGTGCAGGAGGGGAGGAAGTGTGCGGGAGCTGGTTCTCTGAGGCAAGTCCAGGGAAACGGGGCCCCAGCACCTCCCTCAACTCCGGGGACAGGTAAGCAAGTGCGAGGACCCTCCTCGTGGGCTGCCTCGGATTCTGTATCAGCTTCTCCGTGGGGTTGGTCTTTTTCCTTCCCTTTTCTGTCTGGATGAGGTTGGCCCAGCCCAGAGATTTCAAGCTCCCTGAGGGCAAGGGAGCTCTTGGCGACTTGAATAAACACTGTTTGACGGACTGACTGATCTTGCTGCCTCCCCCAGAGCCCTGCGCATCCTCATTTCTCAGCCCTTCCTGGAGGCTGTGTCAAAATAGGAGAAATTTTTGAAACTATTCTCCCTAGCAATTATTCTTCCCACACACCCACCCGCCTCCACGTCCTCACGTGTGCCTCAATCCACTCTAGCTTCCACCATTGACTTTACCGTTCTCGTGAGCCTGTAGGATCACCACTGTCTATGACTCTAGGCTTCCCCCAAACCAGACTTGCCCATTCCAGTTCCCATCACCCTCTTCTCGAGAAGAAAAGGAGGTCTTTCTTGATTCCTTTCTTGACACTCCTCAGGAGAAGAGAAGGAGATCTTTCTCTACTTTTTAAATTCTCCCTAGGAGAACGAATCAAGAGGACCGACCGTCTCCTTTTCTTGAGAAGAGAATGGGAGGTAACCGTAAAAGTTACGAGTTAGTTGATCCAGGCAGTCCTAGCTAAACATAACCTGAAAAAATAGTTATTTAGAAGTGATGCCGTTCAAGGGGATAGCTACATTATGTGAACTTCTTTCAGGAGGGTCCTTGGAGAAGAATTGGAGTACTCTGAAATGCTACTCCATATATGGCAAAATTAAACAAAATGCTAACATCATCTAAAACATTTGTAAATCTTCTGATTTTCCAGTTTTAGCTGGAACAGAAACTAAAAGTGGTAAATGCTGATTTCTCTCCCTTTAATAGTGATTTTTGTACAGTATTGAAAAGGAACATTACTTCTTTTCTCACCTACTGCTAACGAAACGATTGAGTTTATTGTAATGAGAAATATTTATAAGTGATATTTAAACAAATATGGGATTTAAACTCATAAGTATCTGTACTTTTTTGAGCACTCAAAATATTTGCCTGGTATGTGATGTTTAGTATTCTGTTTCTCATTTTATATAATTTAAAAGTTTTTGCTCCATTGAGTGTTAACTTAGACAATGATTTAATCTTATTTTCCTTATTACTATTTAGGTTATTTGGTGACCTTTTACTTGACACACATTTCCACATTATGTTTTTGCATGCATATGATATTAATATGTAATGTTGAAAAGGTAATAGAAAATAATCAATTGAAACTTTCAGGGGCTTGTGAAGTTATATTTTAATGGTAAAATTTTTGGTCAACTTGGTTTTTTTCGTGAAGGCTTAAAAAGAAATGGTTGAAGGCAGAACTCCTCTCCATGTGGTTGTGACCTTCCCCTCTCATTTATCCACTTTATATCTCTCACTTATGTCACCTCTCTTATTCTCCTGCAGCCCCTCTTAGGAGTCATTATCTCTTTGTTGTTCATATTTGAACTTGATAAGGGTATATCACCCATTCCCCTCATTCCTCTACTTTCCCTTTCCCCATCTACTGGGTAGTGCCTTCAACTTTGCCTTCACTGCTGCAAGGCAATCTTTCTTCAATTCCTTAATTAACTCACTATCCCACAAAACAAAGCAGCTCTTCCAAATCTTTTCATCCCTTCTGAAACCTCCCTTGGATCACCCTCTTCCCACCCTTCCAACTAAGAACCTTGCTTCATATTTCACTGAAAATTTGAGGCCTTTCACAGAGAGATCCCTCTTCTCTCCAATCCTCATCTCACACCATCCAGGTGCTTTCTCCTCCCCACCTGTTTCACCTGGAGGTAGTTCTTCTCTTTGCCAATGCAGACTCCTCTACATGCCCACATGTGCAAGTGATCCCATTCTATCTTGTTTTCACCAACAGATTGCTCCTTCTATTATTCCCACTCTCTTACTCATTTTCAATCTCTCCTAGTCTATTGGCTACTTCTCTATTGCCTACTAGCATGCTCATGTCTCCCCCATCCTCAAAAAACACACCTGAAGCTTCCATCCCCACTAAATTATCCCTCATCTCTTCTTCCTTTTGTGAGTTAACTCTTTGAGAAGGCTATGTGCAATAGGTGTAGGTGTGTCTACTTCTTTTCCTCTCAACTCTCTATAGTCTGGTTTCCAACCTCATCATTCAACTGAAATTCCTCCCTCCAAAGTTACTAAAGATCTTCAAAAATGTTCATTCTTCTTGACTTTGTAGGCTTTGACAGTTGATCATCTCCTTGATACTCTCTTATGTCTAGGTTTTCATGATACTGCCCTATCCTGCTTCCTCTCCTATTTATCTTACTGCTTCTTTTCAGTTTCCTTCATCCAGGTTATGCTCGCCAACAATCAGTGTCCCACTGGGCTCTGTCCTTGGTCTTTTTTTCTACTCCCATACTCTATAAACTCCAGTGGCTCCCCATCACCTCTAAGATCAAATATAAAATCCTGTATTGGGCATGCAAAGCTCCTCATAACCTGCACCCTCCCCACCTTTCTAGTCTTTCTTATACCTTCCTCCCCTCCTTCTCCCACAACATTCTAAGATCCAGTTATTTTAGCCTCCTTGCTATTCTACAAACAAGACATTCCATCTCTAGACTCTGGGCATTTTCACTGACTGTTTTTCATTCCTTGAATACTCTCTCTTCTCTCTGCCTCCTGGCTTCCTTCAAGTCCCAACTAAAATCTCGTCTTCTAGGAGAAACCTTTCCTGATCTCCTTTGATGCTAGTGCCTTCCTTCTATTGATCATATCCAATTACTCCTGTATATATCTTGTTTAAAGATAGTTTTATGATCTCTCCCTTAGACTGTGAGTTTCTTGGGATCAGGGACTATCTTTTCCCTTTCTTCGTGTCCCTACACAGTGCTTGGCACATAGTAGGTGCTTGATAAATACTTATTGATTGACCACATCTTTCTACTATGGGATTCCAACAAAATACCTTGATTTACCTGTCAGGGTGTCCTAGTACTTAAAATACTTGAAGTACATGAAGTCCATAGTACTTCAGTTGTGCTCTTCTACCTTCATTTCATTTCTTTCTTTAAATTCCACTTATATCTTTATCATCTTATGTCTTTTTTATCTCTTGATCCTTTAGAAAAATTTTTAAACATGGAATAATTATTTTTTATTATTCTTTCCTTGGTAATTGTACTTATTTATCTTTCTTACGGCTCTGTTTTTGGGGTATTTGCAAGTTGAATATTGTGTTCATGTCTGGGCTTTTTTTTTCCAGGAATGCCTGGAATACCTCTCTGTTTTTTGAACAACCTGGTTCATCTGTTCAGCTTTGCAGGGTATAATTTTGGGTTGTAGCTTGAGCTTCTTTGCTTTTCAGGATATAATATTCCATTCACTTCTGCAGTTTTATGTGTATAAAATAATCTTGTGTTACTAAAATTTCCTTCCTTTTATAATTCAGGGTCTTTCTTGAATTTCAAGGTCTTTAAGAATTTATTGTTTGTTACTGGAATTGTTAAATTTAACCACTATGTGTCTTGAAAGTTGAAACTTAGTCCCATCCTCCCTTCCAGGCATCTGTGGATTCTTTTTATTGGCTTTGTTTTCTTGTGTTCTTTCTTGCATTATGATGTTCAAATTTTTTGATTTGTCATGTTCTTCTGGGAAACCTATGATCCTTGGGCTCTCTTTGTGCATCTTGTATTTGAAGCCAGTAGCACTGGCTTTTGTAGAGATCATGTATTCTTTTAACCTTATTGTATTTTGCTTCTTCTCTGCCAGATTTTCTTCTACTTCAGTATTTTTATGTCCAAATATGCTAACCTCTCACTTTTTCAAAGAAACTCTTTACAGTGGATTAATTTCCCACATTTTGTTAATTTAGTTTTTTTTGTATTTCTTCATTAGCAGCTATGAAATGTGACATATATTCTTTCCTAATTTATTTTCTTTCAGATTTCACTTATCTTTTGAACTATTTCGGAATTTCTTGTTGCTCTATGCTCTTTTGGGATTCCACAAGATTCTCTGTTTTATCAGGCGTTGTAATATTTGTTAGTAGAGTTTTGTTATCTCTTTGAAGGTTTGGCATTCATCCTTCCTTCTAGTTTTACAATCCTCAGTGCTGATTTATCCGCTTGTGTCCTGAGTTTTTATTGAGTTTTCTTTCTCTTGAAGTATTTTGTATTATAACTGTTATCCCTTATATTCCTCTGTTATTCACTTTCTGACTGCTTCTTTGCTGGTGGATGTACCCCTGGAGTTAGGCTACGTTGACTGTGCCCAAAGACGTATGCCTCATTCTGCACTTTGAGTCCATCACCTTTCTTTCAGGAGATGGAGGTAGCATTTGTTCTCTGAAATTGTGATTAGTCATTGCATTGACATTCAAAGTTGTTTTTCTACACAAATGGCACAAGCTGCAGGATCGAAAAAAGGACATTAGATTTATCAATGAGATCACCAGAGACCCTGGGGAGAACAGTTTTGGTAGAAAGTTGGGGTGGTGGTGGTGGTGGTGGTATGGGAGGCAGATTGCAGTTGTGGAGAATGGGTAGTAAGAAAGTGGAGACATCAAAAGTTATTGATACTTTTCTTTCTTTTTAAATGTTTTAATTGCTGCTCTTTTGTTTATATTCCTATCACTTCTCAGTGACTTCCTCCTCCACCCCAAATACAGTCTTCTGTTGAAACAAATGAAGACAGTCAAGCAAATCAAATCAACAAATTATCCCTGTCTGAAAATCTACACCTCGTCCTATACCTATAGTGTACCCCTCTTCACAAAACAGCAGAAAGCATGATCTACCATTAGTCCTCTGAATCAACACTTTTCCATGAGATTCAATAGTGAAGTATATGAGAAAAATGGGAAGGGAGCTGAATTGAGTAGAAGGTTCATGAGAAGGCTTTTTTTTTTATGTACAAATTAGGAGACATGAGAATGGGTGTGAGCAAATAGGAAGGAGCAGGTGGAAAGAAACTGATTTAGTATACTT